AAGGAAATATTACGACCCCTTGTTTTCTGAGGTAGGCAGTAACTACGGCTAGGATCTTGGAAAAACACGGGGAGCCGTGGACAGTCCGAAGGGGAGAACTCTGTATTGAAAATGGGTTGAGCCAAGAGTAAAATGTAGGAATCGTCTGTGGGCCAGGTGTATAGTCACATGAAAATAGGCGTCTTGTAGGTCGAGGGCAGAAAACCAATCGCCCTGCTCCAGCGCTGGGATTATGGTGGTGAGGGTAACCATCTTGAACTTTTGCTTTTTGACAAATTTGTTGAGCCACCTGAGGTCGAGGATTGGTCGCCATCCCCCATTTTTCTTTTCTGTTAAAAAATAATGGGAGTAAAAACCCTTCCCTTTGTGTCGTTCTGGCACAATTTCCACTGCTCCCAGATGAAGGAGATGTTGCACTTCTTGGAGGAGTGGCTGCTCGTGAGAGGGGTCCCTGAAGAGGGACGGGGAGGGTGGGTGGGTGGGAGGCAAGGAGAGGAAGGGGATGGCGTATCCAATTGTAACTACCTCTATGACCCACTTGTCGGAGGTAATGTTCTTCCATTGGTGGGAGAATGGTCTTAGGCGGTGTCCAAAGATAGGTGTTTTGGCTGAAGTAGGAACGCTGTTTTGTAAACCCTTGACCAAGGCTTCAAATCTGCCTATTAGTTGGAGGGGGTTGAGGCGCCCCTGCAGAATTGGGACGACGACGCTGGAATCTTGGTCTTTGACGTTGTTGTTGTTGTTGCTCCTGTGGTCTATGGGAGTGTTGTGTAAATGCGGGATAGCGTGGACGTTGGTACGGTTGGTATCTATATTGCCGTCTTCTGGTCATAGGTGTCTGGAGACCTAAAGACCGGAGGGTTGCCCTTGAGTCCTTCATTGAATGAAGCACGTCGTTCGTGGTAGAAGCAAAAAGTTTGTCACCGTCAAAGGGAAGATCTTCAATGGTGGTCTGAACTTCTCGAGGAAAGAAAGAGGAGGAGAGCCATTAACCCCGTCGCATGACCACTGCTGTGGCGGTCGATCTCGCTGCAGTGTTGGCTACATCGAGGGCCGCTTGAAGAGCGGTACGTGATATGATTTGTCCCTCGGAAACCAGAGCTGTGAATTGTTGTTTCTTCTGTTCTGGAATGTCGTCAATAAAATCCATGAATTTATTATAGTTTTTGTGATCATATTTTGCAAGGACTGCAGTATAATTAGCTATACGAAATTGTAGGGTCGAGGATGCGTATACTTTACGACCAAAGAGGTCCAAGCGTTTACTGTCTTTGTTGGCTGGGGTGGAACGGGAATACTGTTGTTTGGCCCTTTGGTTCGTCGCGTCTACTACCAATGAGTTTGGCGCCGGGTGGGTAAAAAGGAATTCAGAACCCTTTGAAGGGATAAAGAACTTCCTGTCCGCTTGTTTACAGGTAGGTAGGCTTGTAGCTGGAGTCTGCCAGATGGACTTAGCGGGTTCTAAAAGGGCTACGTTGATTGGTAATGCCACCCTAGAGGAAGAAGAGGGCTGTAGGATGTCCGTTAGCTCATGCTGTTGTTCAGTGACTTCCTCCAAGTTAATTCTCAAGTCACTGTCAACTCTTTTAAAGAGGTCTTGGAATTTTGCGTAGTCATCCAACGGTATTGGAGGAAGGGGAAGTAAGGCTTCTTCAGGTATTACCTCCGGCTCTGCTGGAATAGGAGCAGGGCTAGGTTGATCCTGGAAGTGTGACTGTGCTGCCAGGTGTCTTGTGTCACTGGCAGATTCGTCAGGTGGTGGCGCTAGACCAGTGGTCGAATTGCCGTAGCGCACGTATTCTCGAGGGTACGATGCCCATGGTGTCCAATATTGCCATGGTGGTGGGTAGGGCATAGGTGGTGCCATCCAGGGGTTCACCCCCCAGGGGGCAGGATCCTGAGAATAAGATGAGGTAGTTTTCTTATAACCTCTATTGACTGGGGTCTGGGAGTGGGAGTCTTGATATGGAGAAAAAACTTCCTGTGGATCAGTTTCCTCCTCACTGGAGGAAGACTGTTCAGATCCTGACTCAGGCATTGGAGAAAAACAGGCATTCATCAGGGGAAACTGCAGGATAGGTGATACCAAAAGATCTGCTGTCTGAGTAAATCGAAATGGTGAGGCTCCTGCGTGAGGTGAAAGCTGTGCAGGGGGAGGTTGCCGTGCGGGAACATTCCTCTGAGCAGGGGTTTTGCTTGTGATCTCCCTGTCAGTCTGCTCTGCGGTTGTCGGTGCCGCGGTCGGTGCCGGGCGGGCAACATCAGCCTGCAGGGGATCAGGGTGCCATAAGAGAGGCAGGCAACTGAAAGCCTGGAGCCTCGGCACCGGAGCCTCGCGCCGCAGCCTCAGGCGGCTTTCGCACGGTTCCTGAGGAGCCCGGCTCATCAAAGTTGCTGAGGCGAGGAAACACAGGCAGGGAGACCGTTGATCTGCCCGAAGAAATCTTGTGCCTCATAACCTTCTTTGGTGAAGAAGGCTGTCCTTTCTTTGTAGATTTTTTCAGTTTTTTTGAGGCGGGGGGGGGGCTGTGGCGGGCAGCGGAGCCGGATTCAGTGCCTGGGTCTGAAACTGACCCGATAGACTTAAACTGCTCCTCTTGCAAAAGTCTACGCTCCCTGTCCTTCCGTGCCCTGGAACTGAGTTTACTGCAGTGGGCACATTTTTGGGGAATGTGGGCTTCCCCCAAACATTTTATACACTTTGAGTGGCCATCTGATAGCGGGATAGCCTCCTTACATGTAGAACAGTGCTTGAAGCCTGTGGAGCCAGGCATGGCCGAAGCGGCTGCGGCTGACAAAAAAAACTTTTTTTTTTTTTTTTGGTAACAGATAAAAGAGGTAATTAACTACACTAACAAAGAACTGACAACAAACTAACTACTAGAAGGGTAATTGTAGCAAGAGTGAGGGATTTCCTAACGAGTCTGCTGAGCTCCGTCTCAGGCCGGGGACGGTAGAGAAGGAACTGAGGAGACCGGCCACGCATGCGTACTATTAACCTAGACTCACAGCGGGGGGCAGCCTCTGCGCATGCGTGGCCGCTACGAGTACTGCTGCAAAAAATCTCCGAGCAAAGGCGCAGGGACGCACCAACACCTGGAGTGGAGCACCCACAGGGACATCTCTCGAAGAAGAACATAGAGTTCACAATTCTAAGGAAGGGTAGAAGGGAGTACAGCAAAATAGAGACAATGGATTTCAGGAAGGTGGATTTTGGTAAGCTCAGAGAGCTGATAGGTAAGGTCCCATGGGAATCAAGACTGAGGGGAAAAACAACTGAGGAGAGTTGGCAGTTTTTCAAAGGGGCACTATTAAGGGCCCAAAAGCAAGCTATTCCACTGGGTATGAAAGATAGAAAATGTGGCAAAAGACCACCTTGGCTTAACCACGAGATCTTGCATGATCTAAAAAATAAAAAGGAGTCATATAAAAAATGGAAACTAGGACAAATGACAAAGGATGAATATAGGCAAACAACACAGGAATGCAGGGGCAAGATTAGAAAGGCAAAGGCACAAAATGAGCTCAAACTAGCTACAGGAATAAAGGGAAACAAGAAGACTTTATCAATACATTAGAAGCAAGAGGAAGACCAAGGACAGGGTAGGCCCACTGCTCAGTGAGGAGGGAGAAACAGTATCAGGAAACTTGGAAATGGCAGAGATGCTTAATGACTTCTTTGTTTCTGTCTTCACCGAGAAGTCTGAAGAAATGCCTAACGTGAATGCTAATGGGAAGGGGGTAGGTTTAGCAGATAAAATAAAAAAAAGAGCAAGTTAAAAATCACTTAGAAAAGTTAGATGCCTGCAAGTCACCAGGGCCTGATGAAATGCATCCTAGAATACTCAAGGAGCTAATAGAGGAGGTATCTGAGCCTCTAGCTATTATCTTTGGAAAATTATGGGAGACAGGAGAGATTCCAGAAGACTGGAAAAATAGACTTTCATTCATTTCTTCAGAAAATTAGCAGCCAGCAGGTCCTGCTGCTCACTTACTACAGAGAGTTGAAACTTCCCATCTTTCCATAGTTATACCGAATTTAGAAGAGCTTGTTTTGCAGGAGCTCCTGACCTACCAAAGTTCCAAATGCTTCAATATGTTCTGCATTGCATTGCTTTTTTTGAACAAAAAACTCTTCCAGCTATACTTATTTCCTAATAATTTGAAAACACTAACTCCTTTGGTAATAGCATCCAAGTATTAGAGTAAATCCTAATGTATTATAAAAGATTAATTGAAAATAGATTTTTGAAAATACTATCCATTTAATGTAGAGCATGATACAGATTTCAGTTTTAAACTCAAACCAATTTTGAATTATGCAGGATTCGTTAGTGTATTTTTCTGTCTACTCTTTTTTCTTATGAATGTTAAAAATAACAATATTGCAAAAAAGGTTCCTTACCTCTGTTATTAACGTAACCTGAGATTATTAAAAGTAAATGTAAATTTTTCATCTTTAAAACTGCTTATTTCTCTCAACTTAGAAAAGGAAAACAGACAAGTCCGCTTCGCAAAAATATTTTGTCATTAGTTTCATGTCACTTTTACTTTCTGGTTCTCTTATACCTTTGTACAAGGTTGAACTATGTGGGTTTTAAACCATACTGGTGAACCAGGTTTAAATCCAAACAAAGAACTTTTTTTTTTCTTTTTAATTTAATGTCATGAAATATTTCTATAAAATGAGGTTCCATAATAAGGATACCATGCTACAATTCTATGCCTGCTTCTACCTGGAGATCTCAAAATGCTCTGCAAACAACAAAACTTCAAGAACTGTCCTGTGAGGAATTAAGTTTCTCTTTATTTTACAGTTGGGGAAACACACACAGTGCGGTTCAGTGACTTACATACGAAATATATGATAGCACTGGAAACAGGATTCAACTCATGAACTACAGTCCTGAGCTTTCAACTTTGTGTAGAAAGTGTGTACAAGACTTGAAAATGATTTTTTAAATTAAATAGAAAGTCACGTCTTTAGGCACTGTACTCACTTTGTTGGGTTTCTAGAACCAAAGGTCCAATAATGGGACAATATCTTTCTTTCATGAGGTAGTGACGACTTTGTCTGAAAAAACGTGTGATGCTCTACACAAGATTTCCATAGATTTTTGCATGCTCTGTAATTTAGCATGTTGAAGGCAACTATATGTTCTCTGGATTCATTCTGTAATAATAAAACACATTATGTATCAGTATAGAATATGCAGATTGACAATATTAAGAGAAAGATTTAAAAATCAAGTAAAGCTAACAGGCAATTTACAACTAAAAGTAATTTTAAACTGATAAGTCATCAGTAAGTGCAAAGAATCAACAGAAAAAAATAAAATTGATGGCTCCATAAACTATTTTCAAGTGGTAAAACACTCATTGATGAAAAACCAATCTGAAATGTCAAAGACATGTTACAATCACTTTTCTGACCACACTTTACGAATTTAAATATCATTGACAAAACTGTGGAATCTGCTTAAGTTATCGGACTGCTCAGATGTCAGTTAAGATATCAGATCTTCATACAATGATCCTTCCAAAACTAAAGAAAAAAAATCTTTTACTTGAGTTTTATATGCCTACGTTGTTTAGGGAAAAACAAAAATTCAATGTGGAGTACATTCTAACAGAAGATCTGTTTAGAAATAACCCAAATCAGACTCAAAACAGTTCTTAAATTACTTGTGATGGAACTACTTAAGATATAGAGACCTCCCCAAAAGCACACTACAGAAGTTTACAGCACTGACCATTGTACTGACCATTGTAAACAAGGCTATCACCATCATATCACTGTTGCGTTGACTTCAATGAAATAAATAGGTCCAGAGAGTCAGAGGTGCTAACATAACCCTGTCATTGCACAAAACTAAACAGTTAACAAGTTTCAAGGTTTTGTGTACAGAGACCTTGGTCTGCTTAGTTCCATGGCAACAATCCACCACTAAAAAATCTTTTAGATTTTTTTTAAAGATACCAAAAAAAAGGAAAAAAACAATTAAAGCCCTTAAAATATAAAGTATTAAACAAGGTTTTCGTTTTAACAATTCTCTTGTTCCCTTTCCCTTTAGGTGTAGAAAGATTTTATAAGGAAACCCCCACCCCCCATTTAATAGCCTTTTAGACTAGATGGTATTAAAGATGGCAATAACTGTCCTTTTTGGGGAAAAGAGAAATAATTGAGATGGGCTGGAGATGCTGTTGTTGTTTAAGCTTGATGCTGCTTTTCCGAAGGCAAAATAAGACCAACTCACAGAGAAAGGGATAAAAAAGAATACCAAAGATAGAAAATGCAGTTTTCTCTGGTGCTGCCTCTTACTTGCAACCTTGCTTCCAGAGAAACACAGGCACAACACACAGTCTTATCAGCCACTTTGAAACCTAGCAATCTTATGCCAGCTTCAGGCTGTTTAACATGTTGCTTTTAGCCGCCTCTCTGATCACAGGTTCTCAGCAGTTCTGCAAAAGATGCAGTCTTGGCTGGCTAAGCCAGACTCTTATTAAATGCAAGGCAAAAGAGAGAGAGAGAGAGAAAAGAGGCGGGGGAAGGAAAAGGACACACAACGGTGAGTGACAGCAGGAACTCAAATCTCACATTCCAGGTGCTGTTAGGACTCAGCCAAGGCTGGTAGAGGATGTCTTCAGTTCCCTCTCTTTGACCCAGTCTGGTTACAATGCCTTTTGCAATCAGGACAATAAAGGACCAACAGTTTCATGGTGGATCCCTCGGTCCCAGCAGATGGTCGGGGTGGAATTCATGATGGTAAAGCTCACTCTCCCAGTTCACCCATCCCACCTAGTGTCATAATTTCCCCCAAAGTCTCTTTTAAGGACCCCCTAAAGGGGTGATGGCTGGAAAAGCTCATAGCGCCATTATTTTGTCCACAAATTAGGCCTAATTTCCCACACACCAGTTTTGGTCCATTAATTTCCAATTCTATCTTTTGTTTACAGTCACAATCTTTACACAGTCCTTGGGCGGTATCAGTAGACACTTTTGTTTGGACTAATCTAATCTTTTTATTTCCCTTTTGTACCTTCTTCTATCAGCATTTTTTATTATAAATTATTCTGACATTTTATTGGCACCTTTCACCCACTTTCGAACAATTGAGTTCATAACTGGGGTAGACCCTAATTATTAAAACATCACCTACCAGCTAAAACACATACAGAGAGCCAATATTTCACAACTACTACTTGTTAAATACCACATACTTTAATCACTCTGATTACATCTGATCACTTTACTCATAACAAACCATACTTATGCAAACCTATTAGGACATCTCCATGAAACAGGTGAGCAGGATTTGGCACTCTGTATGTGGACATTTTAAATGGTAATCTGTTTCACAGTCAATCTAACATGCATCTTTCCTCAGATATATTTTAAAACATTTAATATGGATCTGTTTATACAAGAAAAGAATAATGTACTTGTTTTTAAACGTTGGTCAATCATACTGGAACTAAAACAGTATTTGGTGATCATGGATATTTCTATTAGAGTGCTTACACTTTTAAACATAAGTGTTGTGAAGGTTTGGAGGGAATTTTTTGCTATGTATAAAAAGTATATAGTAAAAAAAGATTTAATAGCAACTGGCATTTCTTAGCACCCTGCTGATGGCTCACCTGCAATATTGGTTAAAAATGATTAAATTGACATACTTGTTCAAAAGAAGACCAATGCAGGGAAAAGTTGCAAACAATTTTGTCCAGCTGTAATACTAATTTTTAGCCATAAGAATTTGTTAACTTGAACATTTCAGTTTAACTTTATGCTAAAAATGCATGGTTTAAAGGCAAGGGATGAAATTTACCTAGTATTTCCTACTTTAATTTTTGCTGGACAAGAGAAAACATTTGTAGTCCCCAGTTGCAGTCACTGATCACTTTGAAAAGCTCCCTTTGTGTGCTGAAAAAATTCAGATGCTTGCTCTTATCTCATTTTAGAAGGCTTGAGGATGATCCAGTCAATTTTTTAAAAATTATTAATGAATGAAAAAAATGTTTAATGGAAAAAAAGACTTTTTGCTCACAGGGCCGGCTCCAGGGTTTTGGCCGCCCCAAGCAGCCCCCCACCCCCCCCAAAAAAGCCGCGATCGCGATCTGCGGCGGCAATTCGGCGGGAGGTCCTTTGCTCCGAGCTGGAGTGAGAGACCGTCCGCCAAATTACCGCCGAATAGCTGGACGTGCCGCCCCTCTCCAGAGCGGCCGCCCCAAGCACCTGCTTGCCAGCCTGGTGCCTGGAGCCGACCCTGTTTGCTCACCAACAGCATAATCCTTCAAAGGGATCCACAGTCACTGACCATTAAACCCATGCAGAATCTTACTAAGTCAAAGGAACTACAGTGGATGTAGGGGTCTATGTTTATGATCCCTTTGCAAGATCAGACTCTAGCACCCTTGGATTTCAATAGTTCACAATTTGTGAGGACCGTAGTGTCAATTAGAAAGGTTTGTGGACTGAGTGCTGGGGCAATGAAAGTAACTGCGGGCTCCCAGGAGTTAATGGGGAGTACCCTGTAATTCCAAAACCTACACACACCCAGCAGTCAGTAATCTGATTAATCAAGTGATGCCTCTAACAATTAGAGAAGATTTGCAGATGTGTTGTTTACAAAATAGCAAATAAGTGAAATTTTAATGTATATAAAAATATAGCTACCTTGGCTAGTGTTCAGTAAGCAACAAACAAGTTTGATAAAAACTTTTCACTTTTTTGAAGCATTTAAAATTTTTACTAGTAAGCAAGCATGGCTTCTACTCCCAGCCTTACATCTTACACCTTCCACTAAACCCAAATGTCATAGTTGGGCTTTAGTAGCATCAGTTACTATCAGGGGTGGCAGGTTTGTAGAAATTTTGGTAGTGCCCAGAACCTGCCCCCCCCCCAAACTCCACCCCCACCTGCCTAAGGCTCTGGGAGGGAGTTTGGGTGGGGAGAGGTGATCTGGGGTGCAGGCCATGGGCTGGGACAGGGGATTGAGGTGCAGGATGGGTGAGAGGTTGGGTTCTGGGAAGGAGTTTGGGTGGGGGAGGGGGTCTGGGGTGCAGGCTCTGGGATGGAATTTGGGTGCTGGGTGCAGGCTCTGGGCTTGGGCAAGGGGTGGGGGTACAGGCGCTGGGACTGAGTTTGGGTGCAGGCTCTTGGAGGGAGCTAGGGGATGGGAGGTGGTGCAGAGGGAGGAGGTGCAGGCTCTGGGAGGGAGTTTGGGGGCCGAAGGGGGAGTGCAGGCTCGGGGGGGGGGGTGCAGCGCTTACCTGGAGCTCCTAGGCACGGCAGGCCGGGAGTCTCCATGTGCTGCTACCCCCAGGCACTGCCCCCACAGCTTCTCATTGGCTGCAGGGGCACTTGGGGCGGGACACAGACCCACCCCGCCGCCCAGGGGCTGCAGGGAGGGGCCAGCAGCCACGTGGAGCAAGCAGGGAGGAAGCCGCTCAGCTCCGCTGCACTACCAGTGGTGAGTGGGAGCCCCGGGCTGTTTTAAATGGCGGGGGGGAGGGGCGGAAGGCGGGCCCGAGGGAGAGACCTGGCCCCAAACATTCCTGGTGCCCAGGCACCACGGGCCCATAGGACTCGCCGCCCATGGTCACTATATGATTAATCAATTCCTTCCCCATCCTCTGATCAGTTCTTCAATAGAATCAGCAGTGTTAGATATTCCCTGCTGAACAGCTGATCAGCAAAGAGTGAGGAGGAAAGAATTGATGAGTAGCTGTTTCTCCAGAACAGCTGGCATGGGAAGTCACACACAAAGAGTAAGAAGAGAAAAAGTATTGAAAAGGAAAAAGGAGGACGACTCGGGATTAAGATGAGTCATGAATCAACAGGCTTGAAGTGCATAAAAATGTCTTAAATGAGCACCTGTTCATGGCCTTTGAGCACCTTCTCCAGATTTTCAAGAAATACCATCCATCTAAATATTGCAATGGCACACAAAAGCCTGAGATGATGTAGCAACATCATGATCCATAAAGAAACCTTACTCATTAAGCCTTAGGTGGTTTGTGGAATCTACTCCTTGCGGTGCTTTCCCCATCCATCTTGGTCTTTCCTCCTCTTCCCAATCTCCTGTCTTTCCTCTCAGTCTTATTTAACCCTTTGCTTCTGAACTCTGAAGTGGAGGGTTGATAAATCCGAAGACTAAAATATACTCAGCCACCTCCCCTCAAAGCCCACCTGAGCCGCCTGAAATTCTGGAGAAGGCCAATGGCAGCCTAATTGTCCCATCTGCATTGGAAAAACAGGGTAAGGTTTTCAAGGTAAGCATACCCTCTCATTAAGAGACAGATTAGCAGGAGAGCAATCCATATCACTGGGATGCAGAATTGGCTGCTTTATATCCCTCTTCACTTGTGACCTACATATATATTTGACAACGATGGATACATCTGGAGAGGAGACTTAACAGTGCACCTGGTTTGCTTTGTCATATAAACAAAGGAAGACAAAGGTTACACAGCTGGTCCTATTTTCCTTAAGGTCTTGTGGTTCTTTAAGTGTGATGCCATTTGCATTACTATGATCATTGTGTATTGTTATGAAACACAAGGAAATGATGACTTAAGAGATGTGGATAGTTATAAATCACAGCTTTCAGACTGTCATTTTTCAACAAGATAAACAGCTTCTCGACAGAATGAACTTTGAGAACACTGCCCTTTTCAAAGTTGATGTAGCTCTCATGAATGTGTAAACTAACTTTTTTGACAGTAGTAAAGAACTCTTTATGTAGTGAACAAATATGTTTAAAGTTATATCTACTTCTAGAGCTGATTAAATACTAAAAAATGCATTTGTTCAAGTGCCAACTGGTTGCTCAGTTTGACCACATTCATTTATTTTATTATTCGCTGTTTGTAAACATTAACATAAAGGGGATTTTGTTCACATGACTGTTTTGGGAATTCCTGCTATTCATATGTATGCTAGTATTCATACGCAGACAAGAATATTCATAAGTTAACAGAGAATCCGCTGTTCATTATTTGGAATTTCAGTCATCCAATCAGGGAACAGAAATAATACTTTGTGACTTCAGTGACCTATCACTCACCACAAATTATTCAGAGTGAATAAGTGAACAGTTGGCAACCAACCACAAGTTGAAATTTATTTGCATAAACCATTGATAAATATTTGCAAATAATTAATATATTAGTAGCAATTGTAGAATTAATTAGTAGAAATAGTTTGTAAATTATTGGACATCCATCTTTGGTAGGCTTTGACTCTCCCCTCTCCTTCTCCCAAAAATAAAGCTGCTACATTTGGGAGCCCTGTGCATCCCCTGAAGTGGTGTGCCAACCACACTTATGTGTCCCACTTGATATGCAGAGGCCCACCATATCCACATTTCTTTATTAGAGGCCTTACAAGCACAGAATGCCTCCCCATAGCCTCTGACACTCTGTACAAGTTCACCACCACCACCACCATCCAATTTAAAAATAAGGAGAACACCACCTCCCCAGGCATGAGAAAGTTTCCTTCCTTGTACGACCTGCTGTTCTGCCATTCTGCAGCGACCTACCTGGGGTCGCTCAGCCACACATGAGTGCATTATTCAACCTTATCTTTTTTTTTTTTTTTTTTTTTTTTTTTTTTAAACACTACAGTCATCCCCCTTTCTAAACAGCCCAAAGTCAGACAGAATGCTACATTAAATCACCAGTTTTTTCCCCTATTTGTTTCCCCAAAGAGAAGGGTGTTTGAGAGCCCCTGAAGATTTTTCACTTAATAATGAGCCTGAGACAACTTTTCCAGGATAACAGCTGTCATTTCACTTTATATTTGATCAGGATTAAGATTACAGAAATTACAAGATGATGTCCATATCTGTCTCCTTTAATATTTTGGGAGCAGGTGGAGGACACTCCCAAATTTAACTATAATCATAATGACATGGGAAAATTTACAGCCTTAGTTAAAAAAATGCTTGTTTATTTTTTACTAAAACAGAATCCACACATGCAAATATCTTCAAAAGTATTCAGACTACACATTACTAAGTACGGGTATCTATATGTTATCATGTTATAGTCTAACTAATTAGCTTCCCACCTGCCCTCCCCCCTTCCCTCCAAAAAAAAAAAAAGATTGACTAGTTTCTCCATTGACTTAGAGGAAACAGATCAAAATATACTAATTAGAATCTATTATCAACTGCAGTATTGTTTTTTTGTCACAATATGAGCGCATACTACCACTGGTTTACAAGAAAAATATCTTATAAAGAAATCTTGTAGTGAGCAATGTATTCTGACTTCAATTATTTTAACTATCTCCATGTATACCATCCAATTTTGCCAATTTAGACACTATTGTATAATTACTGAACTACGGAAGGCACTCATTATCCGCTTTATCCCCAGATCTTTCAGTTGCCGTTTTTTCCCCATAATGCATCCCCTAACATTTTTCATCTTTGAGTCCCATGGAGAAAAGAAGGTATCTGGGAGAATGGAAGGCAGCAGTGCCCAACATTGTGTGTCCTGCAGTGCTGTCTCCTCCCTCCATGCCCCCCTCTAGAGACACTCAGCTATAGAGTGGCTCATCTGCACGTAGGGTACACTCCCAGCTTGGTAGACATATATGCTGGGGCTAGCATGCTAAAAATAGCAGTGTGGCTCTGGCAAGACAGACAAGTGGTGGATAGGACTAGCCGCCTGAGTATGTACCCAGGCAGTCAGAAGAGACTGTATTTAGATGACTAGCCCAAGCCACCACTTGTGCCACCACAGCCACACTGCTATTTTTAGCACACTAGCTTGAGCACAGCTAGTGTGTGTATGTCTACCCAAGCTGGAAATTACCCCTCTGAGCTGTTGGGTAGACTAACCATTAGAGCAGATTCTGCAGGCAGCTGGCCAGCAGGTGGAGTATCTGAGAAAAGGGCAGCAAGACTCTGGTAATCTGATGGAAAGTTTAAGGCAGCTGAATGTGGGTGAATGGAAGAAGATCCCCTCTGCAGTCCCCCCAATCCCCCACACCTCCAAAACCACTGAAATGAAGAAGGTACTTCTGGGTATTGTTAGGCTATAGATATTCAAGCCTGTCTGTAAAGCCCTATACTTGAAGAATTTAGGTATATGTTTATTATTTAGCTAGTTATAGAGGTATAAAAGAAAGAATCTGTGTAAGGGCCTTCTCTCACTGTGACAGTCTGAGGCCCTGTTTAGGCCTGGTCTACACTACGACTTTAATTCGGATTTAGCAGCGTTAATCCGAATTAACCCTTCACCCGTCCACACTACAGAGCCAGTTAATTCGAATTAAAGGGCACTTAAAATCGATTTCTGTACTCCACCTCGACGAGCGGAGTAGCGCCAAAATCGATTTTGTTAATTCGAATTAGGGTTAGTGTGGCCGCACACCACCGAATTAATGTGGTTAAATTAATGGGGTAGTGTGGCCGCACACCACCGAATTAATGTGGTTAAAAACCGAATTAATGTGCTTAGTGTGGCCGCGCACAATCGAATTTATACAACCTGTTTCCCAAATTCGAATTATCTAAATTCGGATTAATCCCGTAGTGTAGACATACCCTTAGTCATACTGAAATAAGGCAATCTGGGGCTGTTAGGAAGGTGATCTGATCTATCACCTCCAGAGAAAGGAAAAAGCCTAGAAGATGTAAAAGGAAATTTAGTTTGATAGTTTTCTGTCTGGTAAGAACTCACTTATCAATAGACACAGCTGGGAAACCCTTATGTCTTTATAGATGTAGTTGTGAAATCCTCACTTCTGTGTTATTTTGTATGTTTATTTGCACGGTCTCTGTCTGGTTCTGTGATTGTTTCTGTCTGCTGTATAATTAATTTTGCTGGGTGTAAACTAATGAAGGTGGTTGGATATAATTGGTTAGCTAATCATGTTATAATATGTTAGGATCGGTTAGGTAAATTTTAGTAGAATGACTGGTTAAGGTATAGCTGTAAATATTACTATATAAATTAGGGGCAAACAGGAAGTAAGTTGGGATTCAAAAATAAGGAAAAAGGAACTTGGATTTAAGCTTGCTGGATGTTCTCCCCAATAATCATCGAATTGTTTGCACCTTCGGACTTCGGGTATTGTTGCTCTCTGTTCATGCGAGAAGGACCAGGGAAGTGAGAGAGTGAAGGAATAAGCCCCATAACAGGTATGGGGGGGGGGGGGGGGGGGGGGGAAACATTAAACTTGGGGGGGGGGGGATAAGAATGGGGATAAAGGGGTCTCTGGAGAAAAGGTGACAGCAGATGGCAGCCAGAGGGAGTGGAGAAAGGAAAGGGGAAACTCAATGGGGAGAGCCAAATAGAGCAAGGCAGTAAGGACAGAGGGCATCTGTAAAGCCTGCTTCTTCTCCCACTGTAATTTAAGGCTAAAATTACTACACTGGTTCCTTTCAGAACAAGTCAAAAGAATTTACAGAATACTGATTAAAAATTTGATAAATGAAATGGGAAAACAAAAAACATTGAACTACTTACATGTTTTTGCCGTTGCTGTATAAAAAATTTTTTCCTTTTAAAGGAAATTTTTAATATGTTCATCCTAAAAAAGAAAAAAAAACACTAAGTAACAACCCATAAAAATAGAGCAAAGAAAATCAAAGAAAAAGTGACACATGACACGTTTATAATGCCCGTCAGTCTTAAAAGATCCTGAAGTACATTATAGCATTACACATTCATGACTAATAAAATGCAACCACCTCTTGGGTGGAGATTAGCAGCTAACTGACACACACACACCACAGTCAAAAACAGCGCAGGAGCAAGAGAGAGGAGCAGTAACTTTGGCCAATGGAGAGCATCTTTTAAAAATCATTATTCAATAGTTACTCTCTAAGACTTGCCTGTTGCATAAGCAGGAAGCCTCCTGTGGCAATTCTCACCTACAAAGCTGTATGATGTACTTGCAGCAAAGACCCAATGGAATCAGATTTTCCTCTTCATTGTCTCCTCATAGTGGTACCTAATGCACTGAGTTCGTGTAACTAATGGACCATATTGTAGCAACGGAATACCAAGAGGCAAATGTCGGACTTTGATAGCAGGATACATTAAGCCATATACAATATCAAAAATGTCACACAGAGCAGATGACAATATAAGTCATATTACTATTGGTAATAGTAGTGTCACATTATTGATAATATTTTGAGTATGAAAAGGAAACCACATTTTGGAGTTGTCTTTTGGAAAAATCCTACTGTACTATTAAACACCCAAGAGAAAAATTGGTGGTTATCCATTAAACATTCTAATCACATACTTATTTGCTTTTGTGGGATTAAGGGAGAGGAAGAATGGTGGGAAGAGACAGGTCTGAGTGCTAAGATTTTCCTTACACCGATTGATCAAATCTCTAATATTGTAATATTCTTATATATTTTATGTAACATAGTTAAAAACAAACATGAGCTGTGATGTTCTAAATGCACATGGTGTCAGTGGTGACTTCCTAAATTCGTTTATTATAGGCAGAGATAATAGTGGCTATAGTTAAAGCTTGTCTAACACTTTTTATTATCAGCCTATTATTTGCTTAGTTGAATTATTCAGAATGAATTTTTCCATGATTGTTTTTGTCTCTTTTGTCCCAGGATTTTTTATTAGGTTTCAAAGTCATTTAATCATTTCCAAGAAAAAGGCTATTGAAAAATAGGTAGTTTTGCCAATGTTAAATTTTTCAACTTTTGTTTTTGTTTTGTTTGTTTTTTTGTTAAAGCTCTCTAGTTCCTGCATGCTTGGGAGAATAAATTTGACAAAGGGATATTTGGAGTTAGAGAGATGCCTTACCCCTAAGAAAATCCAGATTTGGCCAATTTATAAATCTGAAAACTGCCATTTGCAATTGCACAGTAATACTTGTTAGAAGGCTGCTGCTAAAATCTCAGAAAATGGTACCTTAACTAAGTATGCTGCAGACCCTTGGAGCTTCGCACATGACAATCGTACTGAGGATTTCTCCCAATCCTCACCGACTCTCCTACATAGTTGTCACAGAGCTGGAGCTCTAGATAGAGGGTATAGAGGGGACCCATCAACCACTCCCTGTTTTGACTTAGGGGAAGGTGAATTGGGTTGGGAGCTAACTTGAAGTCCTAGTCCACCACTTTCTACTAATTGGTGTTAATACTGTGCACTTTACAACTCTTATTATTGAGCAATGCCTCACACTCCTGCCTTAGGAAACAGGAGACTAACATTCAACCGTTTTATAAATAAGGTAACAGACTGCACAGTGTCACTTGTGGCAGACCTGGAAAAAGAATCTGTCTGTAATATGGCAAATCCCATCCATTTTGCCACACTGCCTTTCAGAATGAATGTACCAAAACTGTGTTCTTGGCTGTATCATCAGAAACAGAGCCAGGAACAAATTCTCAACATTCCTCTGCTGTCTAGCAAATACTTGTGTAAGCTACTGGAAAGTTTATGCCATGTCCCTCTTTACTGGCTAGTCTACAGAAAAAGTGAGAGCATAACACTGATACTATTTACCATTGGTTTAAGTGGTAGAAGTCTGTACTGTGTATTTAAAGGACATGGGTACCAATCCTGCTGATGACCTACAAGAGGTCAAGATGGTTCCACGTGATGGAATTTGTTTTTTCAGTTTTGTTTTGTTTTTTCAACTAACTGGTGAAAGTATTGTCTCCAGAATATTTTTCTAATGTTTTATTTTATATAATACCTAGTTCAGAGCACTGAATCCATGTGCTACACAGGCTGTTCTATCACTGTTGCTGCATTCCTACAATGCTTGTTGACTACCTCTCATTACTCCTTCCTCTCCCCATAACCATCTCACACTTTCAGGACTGTCTGTTCTTCAATGCCAGTGCTGCTTCTTTAGAGTACCACTCCAGCAGTTTAATTCAGTGGCACAGAATACTTGTTAGAAGGACACAGATTTATTTAATCTTATAACCAACAGCTGTGACATCACACAATTTTTTTAAGTGAATGGTAGTGAGTAATAGTAATCCATGAGACTTCCTTTTTTGTTTTTCTAGTGGATTATGCTGTCATTAGAAGACTTACATTTCATGAATGCTCAAGCATGTCATATCCAGAATATAACCTATATATCATGCAGTTATTCACATTCTTATAGGTAACTCAGCCACCCTCATCACTCATTTTACAATCTTTACAGTGGCTCCCTGTAAAATTCACAAATTCACTAGGTTTTACTGCTTACACTTAAAGTACACAGTAGTTTTGTCTCACTACAGATGACAAATCTTTTGGCTCAGGTTTTTCCTTTCATTTACTGAGATCAGAAAAAAGAAAATTATGTAGCTGGCAATAGAACCTCAAGTGTCTGTGCCAGAAGCCGGGACTTGACAACAAGGGATGGATCACTTGACCTGGTCTGTTCATTCCCTCTGAGGCATCTGGCACTGTCAGAAGACAGGATACTAGGCTAGATGGAGCATTGGTCTGACCCAATATGTTCATTCTTATGTTCTTATGTCTTTAGAACTTCAGACTGAACAGAAATCCAAGGGAGTTCAACAAACTGATCAGTCTGTCCTGATACTTAAAGTTAACCTAAACAAAGCTGCTACTTTAGACTTAAACTGAAAACGTTTCCTTAGCTGTAAATTTGTTTTCTCATCCACCAATCTGGAAGTTTCTGTGTATATCAAATCCACAATGGAAGCAGGCAGCCAATTAGATTTCGGGTAATAACAAGTAACCTCAATATAGTCCTGCAAGCTCCTCAGAAAAGCTATTCCAAAGTTGCCCGGCACACAACATTGTTGTCCTATTGTTGCTGTCTATTAATATTGCAGAATATTGTTCCAGAATTTTTTGAAAGAGAGCTTTGATGGTGTTTGCTGCCACCTTGAGTTCGAAAAAGTTTGTGCCAAATCCTGATGAACTTACACCACAAGAAGCCCTATTGACTTACAACAGTGTTATTCAAAGAGTAAACTGAAGCAGGATTTAGCTTTTTATTAGAACCCTATCTCCTTTTCCACCATTTGTCACTATATAATGTTTTTCCCACCCGAGCACCTCCACCCAATAGGCTTTGTAATCCTTTAAGTGAAATACATTGAGGGCATTATAGAAATTTATCATATTCTATCTTTTTATAATATGTCTAAGCACACAAAATACAAAGTGCATTCTGCATTTATAGTATAGGAAGGTGTGGCACTGTATTTTCCTCACAATGATTTGAGTGGACCCCATTGCTTATGAGTGGCTGAGTCATGATTGATGTATTGATGCAATCAAAAATGAGACCAATAAAGCATCTCTCCCATATATCAAAGTTTTTATTTTTATTTATTTGTGGAAAGAAACTATTTTAGAGCATTTCTAGGATTGTTCCTACCAATTTCATACTTTCACCTGCAAATCCTGGTGCCTCAGCTATTATGAGTCTAACTTATATATGCCTAAGGGGGAAAATTCAGAGTAAAAAGTTTTGAAGATTCAAAAAATGACTTAAAATAGCTTTCTATACATGATGTCGCAATTCCAGTATCCAAACTTTCTACACCTTGCAAGACTAGAAGTGCTGTAGAAAGCTGTGAATTATCCCTTTTCAATGGAATAACACTTCTGTTTCTAGACCTGAAAGAGCACGATATTGGACTTTACACATCACTGGTGCAGGACTTAAATATTGCCCACCCAAGACCCTGGGTCAGTAATTTTGGTAGAATAAAAGTGTGAAAAGGAAGAAAATATTTGTCTGGCAGATAATTTTAAAAATAGCAGCTGTTTAAAGGCACTTAAAGATTTGAATGGCTGGAATTAACAAAGGAGGACTAGAGAGCAGATTTCAAGAGAATCAGAGGTGCATAATAAAAGAAATCTATATTTTATCATGCATTAAATTATACATAGAAATACATACATCATCATGGTGTGGTATGAAGTTTGTATTGGCATGAATTTGGGATGGCTGCACTATCCCCAAGTGAATTATACAGGCCATACTATTCAAAAGATGATATATTTCAAAGAATGGAGAAAAAGGAGTGAAATGAAGGAAATAAGCAAAAAAAAAAGATAATTTAGAATAGACAATTTAAATTTATAATCTATTTTAGTGCTTTGTTCTGTCAGACGTTCCTTAGGTTTGTGATAAAAGGATGGGGTGTCTTGAATACTTAAGATATATTAATACTGCTGGTTACTCTGTAGTTTCTGTAGTTAAATAACTGGAGGCAGAAGAGGAGAATCTACAACTCACCACAATGTATTATTCTGTGAGGTCTGGGAGATTTGCACCAACTTCTTTGGAAACTTTCCCCAGAAAACGGTTGTAAATTATGCCTAATACCATGCACCAGCAGCTAGGCACCAGTTCCACAATTGAGGAGATTGAAGGAAGTGCAAATAATCCCACTTTTACACGAAAAGGATCAGGAGGTGGAGGAGTGGAGAAGAATAATCTTTTGGACCCTCTCTAAAATCTTATGGCCAGACATGTGTATAACATTTCAATCACTTTGCATAGGGGTCATCAACTCTGGATTCTCCTACCTGTACCAAGATGGGAATTCCCTATCAAAAATGAATGCATATACTACTGTTTTCAGCTTTACACAGCCATCAAAGTATCTTCCCCTTTGGAGACCCCAAACTTATAAGTCAACCCTGGATGATCTTGTAGACTTGTTTTATTCCTCTTTTGCTTGTTCATTTATCCCAACTCCTCCTGAAAACTGCCAATAATTGTCATTTTTGTTGGTTATGTACTTTCTTTCACAGAAGCAAATGCTGTTTGGCAAAATTCATAAAATTGCTGATCATCCACAATTAATTGCTGAGCTGTTTAGCAATATTAAAAAAATTAACCAGAGTCATTTGGGCCTAAGGACGGGGGATGTGGAGGGTCACCAGTGTCCTAATCCTGCAAACTCAGATATGAGAGTAGTCTGCCTCTGAACTCTGACTCCTTTAAACTCAGTGATACTCTCAGTCATGAATCTTTGTAGGATTAGGTCCCCTGCGGTAATAGATTTTTCCTCTTTGGAATAAACATCATGCCATGTGAAAATATTATTTAAAATTTTAAAACAGCAGTTGTAACTCTTGGTTAATAAAGGAAGTAGAAACAAGTAACACTTACCAGGGATAGAAACTTGTGCAAATAAATTTTCTGTACACAGCAATACCTCCGGAAGCAATTCCAATCATCAAATCTAGATTATGTAGATCCTGAAAAAGAAAAATATTGTAAAAACAAAGAAGAAGCCTATGAAATACATGTTCTTTCTGCGTGTGAATTCATTCATATGTTTTCCATATACAAGTATAAAAAAAGCAACCCAAAAGGCGTACAATTCAAAGAGTAAGATTTCTGCACTATTTCTTCTAATTTGGTCAGACCTACGATGCAGTATAAAAGTCTTGCTATTGAGAGAAGCATTATAACGTTACCTCATGCAATTATGTTTAGTACTGTCTGTGTCAGTAGGAGAGACTGTTATAAGGCGGCGGCGGGCAGTTGGGAGGGGTGGGGGGAAGGGAGGGTAGAGCTCTTGTCCCTGGTCAGTTAGTTAAATGTTCAAAGAATTTAGGAGCTTGGGCACTCAGCCTCCCAATCCTTGACTGTTTGGGAGGACTTGGAAAATAATTCCTGTCTCTGACTCCAGAAGGACTTACCAATTAGAGGCTAATGGAGAGTCGGCCAGATGAGAGATGACCCAAGCTCCCTATATAAAAGTGGGTCGGGACCACATACATGTTGGTATGCATAACAGATCAATTTTACTGTCCATTGTAGTGTCATGTTCTGGTGCACTAGATCAGGATTAAAGGTCTTAGACTTCTGGTCAAGGAGAAGAGGTGTCCTGGCCTAAGAGTGAATTAATTTGTCAGAACTCCTTTCTTTTGGGCACCTGTTGCTGTTATTTTGATGGTGATAAAGGTGTTCCCAACATACATGAAATCCTGAAAAATGAATAGTACGTGTATGTTTCAACAGACTACTCTTGTGTAAAATTAAAATATGTGCACAACAGGATTTGCAGGACTAAGGCCTTATAATGAATCTACTACATAAAGTAGTAGAATGCAAGTGACATAATCAAGAGGACATAATACTGGGATCATTAACCAGCTTTGCTATTGCAGGATGTCCAACCTCCATGTACATTAACCATGATATAGGGACAAATTATTGTCTACAAGCAGCATCTGGATAAGTTACATAATAAATTTTAAGCTTGTGATTTCAGCCAAACAACATTCCTTCTTTGTCCTGTGGTTCTCATCACTGACCTTAAATCTCATGAAAACCATACTTATGGAATTATTTTTCATGGAGGGTGAAATTATCCACCCAGGAATTTTAGAATTACTGTGTATAAGGAAAAAATTAATAAAAAATATTGCTTAGCCAAAGTTTTAGACATTTCCTTTAAGTCCAATATAAAATTGTAATCCTTGGCTTCCTAGCTCACTGTGATCTATGTATGTACTCATCTTATAATATACATATTACTGCAGGGAGTTGAACATTTATGCCTAAATATAGATTTAGGTTCCTAACTTTAGGATCCCAATATTTAAAATGTTGGCTTTGGTTCAGAAGAGCAGCCTTAAGAAATTTTATAACACACTTTTTAAGGTGATGCTGGATTCTCTTAAGAAAACTTTCAATAGTCTAAATTCTCCTGTAGATGGCTCTCTTTGCTCAGTTAGTATAAATATATTTCCCTTAATCCCCAACTTCCATTTTTGCTGTACCATAACGACTAAGAATAAAACAGGTAGAATGTAATTGAACAAAACTCTGGCACGATACAGAATAGATGTGAACAAATTATCTTTTCTATTACAAGTTTATTAGAATATATAAAATAAGAGATTGAATAATTGCTGAACATTCTCTGCCACATACATTATCAATTCCTATGCCAGCTAACTCAAGTATCATAGTACACTGTAGAGGGTAAACACATATTGTGCCAGATTTAGTATCTATCAGTAATTTATATTCCACTGGCAAGAGGAAAAGAAATACAAATCCTGTCTCTGAAGAGGTTAATATAGAAAAAAGGGTAAATAAGATTGGCCGCACAGCTTAACAGCTCTAAGCAGGAACAATTGACTTGTACACCAGGATTCAATCACTTTGCCTCTTTAGGCTGATAAACACAATTACAGTGGCCCATTAAAAGCTAGCTTTGGAGAAAAAGCTGGGAGATCCCATAAGAGCTAATTGGGGAAAATGTTAGCAGAAATGATGGATTGATAACCATTTAACAGAGAAGAACTAAATTAATCCAGTTCCTCCAGATGGTGTGCCTGATCAAGTTTTGGGGTTTTTTTTAATGCTGATGTCACCTCACCCTGATATGATAATGAAATCGAAAACCTTCAAGACTAAACAAATCCGATCATAATGACCAAGAACTGGGCACACATGGGGGTGGGGAGAGAGAGATCCTCTCTGAGAGTATGTCTACACACTAGCTGGGAGCATACTTCTCAGCAAGGGTAAACCGACACATGCTAGCATGTTAAAAATAGCAGCACAGCCAGGGGTAGCACCGGTTCCAGCTCAGGCTAGCAGCCTCAGGGAGTAAAAATCTGCCTGGACCCGCTGGTTACATACCTGGTGGCTAGCCCAAGCCGCCGCTCATGTTACCTCCAAGGTGTGCTACTATTTTTAGCACTTGGTTGCCTGACACTTCCCATTATAAAACCCTATTCGCAGTTGCTTATAGCTTTGCCAAACTTTAACCAGAGAAACAAGGTAGGCGAACTAATACCTTTTATTGAAAAAAACTTGTACTGATGGAAGGTACAAGCTTTCAAGCTATACAGAGCTCTTCCTCAGGTATGGGGAAGGAAGCAAAGTGTCTGAGCTAAATACAAGTTGGAACAGATTGTTAAGGGATAATACAAGTTGGAGTCACTTGAAATGAAGTGTATACCTGGGGGTTAGATGTTAGGCATAAAGGGTTTGAAGTGGGCAATTAAGGGTAGCAGACAGCTTATTGTGCTTCAAATTTCCTGAACTGAAGAGGGTTCTCCCAGGGTATTTAGGAGCTAATAAATCTATGATGTGATCATCTACTCTGGTTGTTTAGTGGCCTTATTTAGTGGCACTCAAAGCAGCACCAGTCCCTGCCAGAACAACAGATATAAAACCTGCAGACATATCTCCACTGCCATGATGATTAATACCCCTGTGACCGGGGTCCCCGTGGGGAGCCAGCCGAGGTCACTCAATTAGGGTGAACTGCAAAGAATGGGGCAGACAAACCCCAAAGCTGGTGGATAATTCAATATTTAGATTTACCAAGCCAGCACTAAACAGCTTCTGTTATACCTTACTGGTTACTCAGAAGTCCAAACAACACAGCTCCCTTGAAGTAACCCAGCCTCAGGCCTCCATCCGGGTACCCAAGTCAAATATGATGAAGATTTCTCAAAATCATATTTCATCATATAAAAGAAAAGGTTCTACCAATCCCAAAGGATCAGATACATTATCTCCCAGGTTAATGAACATTCCAGATCTTACCCAAATACACGCTACAGCTAATTCTTATTAACTAAACAAACATTTATTAAAAGAGAGAGAGAGAGAGAGAGAGAGAGAAAGTATGGTTAAAAGATCAGTATACATATAGACTTCAATTTTTGAGGTTCAGATTCATAGCAGAGATGGTGAGCTTTGTAGTTGCAAAGAGTTCTTTCAGAAATAGTCCATAGGTTATAGTCCAATATTTATATTTCAGGGCGGTCCAGTCAGAACAGGGATCTCAGTCCTTGTGGCTTAGGCTTCCCCTGCATGAAACCTCAAGCAGATCAGAGATCAACAGGATCAGGACCCAAGGGTCTTTTTATACAGTGTTCTAGCATCCACTTGACCATACAGTCCTGGGTAAACAATTGGCTTTCGATGTAACCTTCTGTTTTCTCAACATCACCAGTAATTGATTACACAAATTAACACAGGGCAATTTATCCATTAGGCAGACTATCACAAACTTCAAAGAGACATATAGACAATGACATTATTTCACCCAAGATTCATCTAAATGTTAATATTCCCTTTTGACCTCTGAATTAGTAGTTACAGTGACAGACAGGAACTGTCTGTTTAGATGGGTAGCATCTAAGATACACACAATTAGTATCACTTCTAACAATATAGGTTTCCATTTCAAAGTTCTAGCCTATCTAGCCATAGAATGGCCCTAATTACCATTTCTAACATGTCTTTAAAGGTCGGCTTTGGGTTAGCCTGGAAGCTATTTAATCCTCAGTGGCCATGCGTTATATTTTGTACAAGATTCATTGCAATTATATAACAGTGGTAGCAATAATGACTTGCATGGTTATATTTTAATTAGACAATGTCACAACCCCCTACAACATACCTTTCAAGATTCTTGGGTCCTTCACATGCTTATTAGAACGTGTGGTGGTGGTACCTCATCATGTGCATCAAATGCCCCAAAAACATCTATGTGGGTGAAACCAGACAACCACTATGCTCTGAACTCACACAGAAAAACGATAAAAGACAAAAACATATCACCCACGAGAGAACACTTTTTCACAAAGAGATCACTCCATAGCTGATCTTTCAATACTTGTCCTCAATGAAAACCGCATAACACCGTCAAAAGGTGAGCCTGGGAATTTACATTCATAACTCTGATAGACATGGACAAAAGCCATGAACATAAACAGGGACACTGGTTTGAAGGCTCATTACAACAATTTGTAACACACCATACTGCCTGCTACCCTTAATTGCCCACTTCAAATCCTTTATGCATAACAATCTAACCCCAACTGCACATTAATTTCAAGTGACCACCTCCAGTATGTTACTTCTTCAGCTTAACAATCTGTCCCAACTTGTATTTAGCTCAGATACACTGCTTCTGTTCCTCAACCCGAAGAGGAGCTCTGTGTACAAGCTTTCGAGCAACCTTACACAAACAGAAGTGGGTCGAATAAAATATTACCTCATCTACCTTGCCTCTCTCATTTCCTGGAACCAACATGGCTACAAGAAGACTGCAAGGAAACTTCAACCATTCAGGCTCCAATTTTCCATGCTGGGTATCTGTCTCAAGCTGAATTTTCTTGGAAATTTTCAGCAAAATGGTCCAGCCATTTAAGAATGAGACTAGGGAAAAATACACCTTTTTCAATGTTAAAAAGATTCTGGTGACCTTTTTTTCGAA